GGGGAAGGGATCTTGAGGCAGATGTTTCTCGTACTAGCTTAGAGGAGGGGCTCTCAAAGCCGGTTAAAGACCTCTCGTATGTCTCGGGTAAACTTTGAAGATATGTAATTTCTAACCCTGTGTGCAACCTGCATTGTATAGCTACCAAATTTAGTGACTTTCACGACTGGGAACATTTCAATGTTAGTGTTTCACGTTCAACAACACTGACGTATCCAAAACGATCTTTGGTTGATAACGTCATTCAAAATTCAATGTCATCGTGTGGAACACCACAGAAAATTAACGAGTTTACCCGTCATAGACGGTGCCGTACATGTATAATTCGTCTAGTTAATTATAAATACAAGACGAACGATATAACAGACGAACGTATTTGAACTCAGCGCCAGACTAAAATCTGTAATAAAACGACCAAAGGTCTCTCTTCTATAGCCTTTTTCTTTGTGCACAAACGAGGTTTTGTGTCTGGGCATAACGCGTGAGTGCGATCAGCAGTTGTTTGAGACCTCAAAAGTGCATTATTTTCTGAGAAAAGATAGGAACGCCATTTTCTATTTGGTTCACAATATATTTCCATATGAGAAGGGGAGGTGATTGCACTAACAACACAGCATCCGAAACATACGTCATGCTCTATAATTTGCAAAACGATGCTCGCTCAGCTCCAATAGCCGGTACACAGCAGCTATAGTTTAACTGGAAATCAAACTGATTGATACTAAAAGAACACATCAAACATACCTATTTTGAGATACAGTGTAAGTTTTAACTTGCCTTTACATGCAATAGCTCAATTATCTCAATTCAAATCGCTGGACGAAAATTTAATTGGTCTTCTGTAGTATTTACACACGAAAGTGACAGCACCTTGTTCGTCGCTTTCCCTTCCGGGTGAAAAGTCGACACGACGGATCAATGTAGCACATAATCTGTAAAATACTATAAAACTTCATCAAAAAAGAAGAAAGAAAGAAAGAAAGAAAGAATCATAAATTAGACAGAGAACGGGAGGACAATAGTTTTCAATTAAAAAAAATTGATACCTTTTTAACCAATCATGTATCTCAGTTCATCATTTTAAACTACAAAATTTAAAATATCTAAAATTTTTTAAAAAAATAATACTGATTATAGTTGGTACATACAAGGCCATTGCGCTAATTAAAATTAAAACAATAATAGTGATGAGTTAGTGTATTGAAAAACAATCTTTGCATCCGGCACTTTAAATTCTGATAATTACTTTTTCATTAAAAAAGAAAAAGATTTTCTTATTTTACTCTTCTCTGAACTTTTGCTATCAGCTAAACAACAACAACAAACAAACGAACCTAACTTTTCTTATTGTGTCTAATGCGCGATCATGTAAATTGCGAAAATAGTAAAGACGAATTGAATTTTAGCTTTGGCAACTTCTGTTGGTGACATTTTGTCAAGCGAGATGACAAGTGTCTTACGCAAGACACTCTTACGCAAGACACTATTCATTGTAGAACATTAATTAGATGTGCGGCAAAGTGTCGGGAAAAAAGGGACGTGATATTTGTTTGTGTCAGCTAAAATTGAAGGCGAAAGGAAACTGATGTCAAATCAAACTGTATTCAGACCCATAAGAATACAAATTGTGCATGTGGTCTAAACCTGCACAATGAATTCGTCATTGCTCTCCCTTTTCTTGCTCTTTTCAATTCAAGTGAATTGCTTCGGTTTTCGTGGGATTCGAAATCACGCTTTTACGGGACTCATTTCCCAAACAATTTACGACGTGGACTGGTTAGGCTGTTTGGAAGCCTGTAGTCGTAACGAGAAGTGTGTCTCTTACAACTACAAATGGCGTCTCGATGCTCAAGATGAGGTCAATGTATGTGAATTGATTGATGACCGTGGGGAGTGTGACACAAGCTCTCTAGTGTACATGACTGGTTTTACTTTCTATCAGATCAGGGGAAATAGAAAGGTAAAGATAGAATGTTAAGTTCCAATTGTAAATATTCAGTTTCACCAGGGAAAACACACTGACAGTATACTGGTGTTATTGATCAGGATTTCTAAATCAGATCACCTACAATTCGACAGTAGCGCGACACATCTCATAAACATATGATTTTGCCTTGCCTTATTGTAGGAAATCCTTGGGAAGTTTAAGACCTGTCATTTTAAGAAAAACAATCAAAAGATGAAAAACCAATGTCCCTAACGTTTCGGGTTAGGGCCCTTACATCGGGAAATACTCTAATTAAGTGCCGCTCTCCAACCAGGATCAGAAACCTGACAAACATTTAACTGACATAACCTGGCATGGACTACGGTCCCATGCAAGAGAACCGACTTCAGAGCTTTTACCTTGAGTTACATATCTTACAGCCGTTTTCAGCCTACCTACCTGACTTCCTTGACGGACAGAAGGCCGCCCTGACGAATGGACTGCGGATCGGCTGGCCGGCTAGCCGGCCGACCGACTGCCTGCCCGACTGACTGACGGACGGACGGACGGACGGACGGACGGACGGACGGACTGACTGACTGACTGAATGTCTGAATGACTGAATGACTGAATGACTGAATGACTGAATGACGAACGGACGAACGAACGGACTGACTGACTGACTGACTGACTGACTGACTGACTGACTGACTGACTGACTGACTGACTGACTGATGAATGATCACTTACAGATTGCTACAAGTCCAAATAGAATAAAACCAGATACCATGCATTCAAGTGTCCAAAGACCATTGCACGGAGTGATCGGACACGTGAATAGGCGCTAGAGAGTTCAAGGTAGATAGCTGTCAACCAGATGTTTTATTTGTGCCTTTATCCGTTGTTTGATCAATCTTGACAGAAGACTTTGGACAATTGTTTAATTGTCTATTGATGTTAATTTACATCAATACCCTGAGCTCTACTGAAATCCCCTTGAACGGTAATCTTTTCATTATTCTTTTGTTTTACTCTTATTTTTCCCAGTTTCTTTCAGAATAATTGGGCATATGCCGTCACCTTTTAGTTATATTCTCTTATTTTCTCCCTTGAAATTGTAATTAATACAGACGTCACCGTACAGTCAACAACTAATCCGAGTTAAAATACTGATTTGCATTATTCTGTCTTACAGACCTCGTGTACTGAACCGTGTCATCCCAGTGTGTCAAATAAAGGTATCAGTAACGACGTTATGAATCAGCCTTACTAAATCTGAGTGGAAGATCTTGTGTAAATTGATGACTCAAGATACCCTAGAATTCTGTTACTACCCTCCTCCTCCTCAAAATATGTCTCCCAAATCACGGACAAAAACCTCTACCGATACTAAGCCTTTCGAAATTTAAGCTTGTAGTTTTAGCTGACGAATTTTTTACCGTGTTGAAATAAAGATTATGTATGAATGTATATGTAGGCTCCGGGTATTAAAATTAGATCTAGCTCAATAGGAAAAAATATAGCCTCTTCTAATAGTAAGTGCCCTACCGTAGAACGTGTTTCGTAGTAATTTGATGTGGTTAGATTTGTACATAACTATTTTTAGGCATCTATTGTATATTACATATTTACATAGATTATATAATCCTATTTCTTCTTTTTCTTCTTTTATACAAATTTGAGTTCACGCACACGTTTTAACGAGCGCTTGCGCTCCTTGGGGTCGCGTGGTTAAATAAAGTATTGTTGTTGTTGTTGTTGTTGTTGTTGTTGTTAACGCATACGTTATACGTAGGCTTGTATCAACTACTGAATGAAGAACCTGTTCCTTGCTTCAAATCATTAAGTCCTGAAAGTTATTTCGCGGTGTTTGTTACCATAACTATTCATTTTTGTACTTACATTTCATCCTGCAGCTTTTGGAGATTGCTACGAGCTGTTAATGGCGGGACAAACACAAAACGGAGTCTACAGAATCAACCCAGGTGGCAAAGAAGAATTTGAAGTTTTGTGCGATCAGAGTGCACAAGGTGGAGGATGGGTTGTAATCCAAAAAAGATTTAATGGTTTGGTGGATTTCTTCCGCAACTGGACGAGTTACAAAGTCGGATTTGGAAACTTAACAGGGGAGTTCTGGCTTGGTCTTGACAAAATTCATCGACTGACGTCGTTAGAAAAGATGGTTCTACGCGTTGAACTTGGTGATTTTTACAACATGTCGTCATATGCCGAGTACGATAAGTTCAAAGTGCTAAGTGAGCAATCCATTTACGCCCTCGAACTAGGAGAGTACACAGGTATATGAAAATGTAGACCATTTTCTGAAGTGAAGGAATCATCCAAACGAAGTGTTATTAAGCCTCGAACGCTCAGGTGGAGATTGATATCACCCCTCTCCTCCACCCCCAATGGGGAATATATTTTTTGATGCTGAACCTTTTCTCGTCCAATTTAATCTTCATGTGCCAACTTTTTATCCACTTCACTTTTTGTTACAACAGCAATCACCTTATTTCGCTCTGTGGCAAATTAAAAAGTGACGAAAGGCTCTATCATTGTACGCTGTAATTAGGTAATATCAATCGTAACCCACATATTGTACGAATAGTCTTTAATAATTTTAAATTGTCTTGGCTCTAGATCAAGAGTCACAGTTTTAATTTGAAAATTATTTTCCTGGCCTTGTATTTATCCTTCCTTTATTTCATACTTGCAGGCACAGCTGGTGACTCCCTAACGTGGCACAAAAGTCTCCCATTCTCCACCAAAGATCGAAATTCCGGCGACTGTTCGGCTGGGGATTGCGCCACTTTATATCACGGAGCTTGGTGGTATGGTGACTCCTTCCAATCAAATCTTAACGGGAAATACTACAGCAAGCAAAGCACGCCTACATTCGATGGTGTTATCTGGGGAGAGTGGAAAGGATTAGCAACCTCCTTAAAAAAGACGGAGATGAAAATCAGACCATGCAATGATTGCTAAACGAGTTGTTAGCTTTATCCAGCTGATAGATTTACGGCAATTCAGTATGTGTAAAATTTAGTCTTGCGTGTTTCCAGGGGCCGCTGTTTCAATGTGGAAATATCCTCCGATAGTTAGCTGCCGAGTCTGCTGTTGAGTGAGGTTTTCCATTCCTTGACCAACGACATCTGCAAAATCTAAAACTACAATCAATCAAGCAAATTAAACAGTTTTCTGTGAGCGGCACTCAGATTGCGAAGAAAACAAAAAGTGACGAAAGCGATCCGGGCAAGAAAAGAGTTCTGAAAGGCTAGGAATTAAAACCGTTTCTATGTTTCTATGTTTTCAAATTGACGCTTAAATTGAAAAAGGCATCATGGGTTTAGCCGAGTGACGTAAAAGCTATAGTTAAGTATGAATATAGTGACCGGGAAACGGTCAAAAGGAAGCAATTTTGTAGCCTCAGTACTTTTGATTGCACGTAAGCATAATTGTTCAAGTCTACCCACGCATATAGGACCCATAAAGGATATGAACATATGAGTGAAAGATGCAAATTACGGTCCATCTTGATGAGTTCGCTGTGTCGGTAATAAAAGCTCTAAATTACAAATCAAAATTACAAATCAAATTACAACTTACACTACCCGCGTATAGCGTAGGCTAATTGAGGCGGGTATTGTAATGAATACTACATTAGGTCACAAAACAAACTCCTAAGCAAGTACAAACTCTAAACGGGAGCGTGTGCTACCTCCCCGTTCTACTTTTTAGAGAAAAAAATTATTAGGCACGCTTGCTTACAAAATTACTAGGCACGCTTGCTTACCTTCGATAGCGACTCTAGTAAATAATTGTTTCATAAGGCCATGTACCGATTTTATTTACATATAACGGCCTATATAGCTATGTTAAAGAGCCACTTTGTGGAAATGAACAAGACGTCCTTATAGATAAATAAATAAATAAAAAAAATGGCGCAACTAGTACTGTTTTTACTTACGTCTTAAGCTGTTACTGCTCATAAATTTCTTCAGCTTGACAATGAAAAAACCCGCACCTTGAGAGCGGAAAAACGTAATAAGCATGTGCGAGTGTTGGCCGCGCGCCAGGCTCCAAGTTTGAAAACATGGCTGGAATTTCGTCGATCGTGTAAACCAAAAAAGTTACGAACGTTATATATGCTTTCCCATTTATCCCAGTAAGCAGCAACATTTAACGTCATAAAGGAAAGCTGGTGTATTGTTTTCGTAGGGAATCATTTTTTTTTCGGGCAAAATTAACCAAAAGAAGGTCCCCGCAGTATTCTCTATTTTCCAATTGCCCATAATTCACTCTGTTTGCCCCCCAAATTTTGCATAAACTATTGTTGTGAAATACACTTGGGAGATATGCAAACATCCCAAGAGCATTACACAACAATAGTTTATGCAAAATTTGGGGGGCAAACAGAGTGAATTACGGGCAATTGGAAAATAAAGAATACAAGAAATTTCGGTGCGATGGCACATTTTTTCCAAAGACACCCTCTACATATTGCATCCGTATAAACAAACCACTGAATATATAAGGAAGAGAGTCTCTCAGCAGGCAAATTCATGCTTCCCCACGTATAAATAAATCAACCAAGGGACGTTCTTGGCGTAACTTATTAGCAGTCCACCGTTCTTTCCATCATTGTAGCCTGTATTATTACCTGAGCCCGCAAGTAGAGCTAGGGATGCGCAGAAAGATGCGCAGTACGTTTTTCCGCTCTGAAAACATAACGTAGAATGCCCATTGTTCGCAGGATATTTACTTACAGTTCGTGAGTCATATCGCCTATCATATTGCCTGTAATAAGCGCCAGGGAGTGACAATCTCATTAGTTAAGATAAATGCGTGCTTTTTTCCGTATGGACTATGACTTTGACTATTCTTATCACGGGCGGGAACATCGATCGAAGCATTTAACTTTTTGTGGTATTCTTGTCGGTATGTTTTGGCGTATTCTCACTGACTATGCTTTTAAAGTAAATTTACTGCCTTTAACTGAAAAAAAAAAGTAAAAACAAAGAAAGAAAGGAACAAATTTAAAGAAATTGTAACTGATCGGTCTAAAAGCAAGGAAATGATGTGCTCTCAAATCTTTTCGTCGCGGGTGCACTGAGCCGAGAACAATCGTTTGTGTTAAAATCCTTGGTTTTACAAAGCTTGGCTGATGCGCTGGGAAGAGTTTGCCCTGTTGTGCCAAACGAAACTACTTCAAAGAAAAGTAACGACTATGTTGTTATTGGATCGCGTTCGATCGCGTTTCTTTGAAAATGAAAATAACGCATATTTTGATCGCGCACGCTTATCTTTTCAAAATATAATTCGCGTGGGTTGGATCGTGCTCGCTCGAACGGATTTAACGTGTTCGTTATGCATGATAATGAAAATATTGTCATATACCAGATAATGTCTACTCTTGACAATAGTTGGTGGTCTTAACCGCGCGCTTGTAATATGCCTATGTCCCTGCTTTTATTTCTCCTCAAAGTTTAGTTTTGATTGTTTATATAGAAGGGAGGCCCTTTGGGCGAAATCTATGTCAGGGCTAAAGGAAATTAAATCAGAAAGGTGATTTTTTTCGTCGACCCAAATTCGTCAAATTTGGCTCTTTCCTCTCTTACGCTGATCAGTTTTCAACGCATTTTTTTTTTTAATTTAAATTCAAAACTTCGTTGGTTATGAAAAATTAATGATGTGCAGTCATTCTGAGCGATGATATCCTGTTTAGAAAAGAATGTTTTGATCGATTTCTGGACATTTTAATTACCTTAGGCTTTCCCACAAGTCGATCTGTGAAAGCTAAAAATGAGATGACTGTTCGCGTGCTCTAACCCAAATGCAAAGAACGCGAGGAAGAGGTGCAAAAGAAGTCTTACGATGGACTTAGTAGACATATAGACCTACTCGGAATACGAGTGACTTCCGCCTAAGCGAAGAACGAGAATAGGCTTTACAAAAAAAAAAAGCTAGTGCAGTCAGAAAAACTTGTGTAAGCAACTATGAGCAATTTGTACGACAATAGAAGAAAATTTAAATAGTCACCAACAAAGAAATACTGATGGGTGTAGGTAGAAAAAAGAGCTGCGAAGTGTTGATTGTTTAGCTAATTTCTTCTCAAATGGTAGCCCACAGTGGATAGAGCTCGTTTCTCTTGTCAAAAAAAAAATAATAATAAATAAAAAATAATAAAATAAAATAAAGCATTTGTTACACATAATCAAGGCCACATAATCACGCACAATGTTAAAAAGAGAACCCAGCCGGAATGGAATACTATTCAAAATACCTTCATTACTTTTATACACGCCTCAAGCCATTCAATAAACAGTGAGCGTTAATGGTTTATTACAAGTAAGTCTTAGCACCTAATACATGTATTCTCCCAACTGCCAGGGAAACGTACTAATTAAAAACGCTTTTTATCAATACATTGAACTGCAAATCATGCACGAAAATAATTCTCAATCAACTGATTGATCTACAAAGCCAGAAGATGACTTATTACAGGCTAGTCAAAATAGACTTGTTACCTAATTATGGTCTCCCAGCGACAGGGAAAACTTACATGAAACAGGTATGGTCATATGAACTACAAATCATGCAAGGATAATATCCTCCTTTTGTGGGGCAGAGGCAGCAATCGCTGTTTAATTGGCAGGCTTGGCCTTTAGTCTTGCAGTTTGGCACTTGTGTGGAGCAAAACACTTCAATTGGATCCCGTGCTTCGTTGTCGGGTCGCGGGTCGCGCATAGCGTATCCTCGACGGAATGGATTTCGGCCAGTAAAGCGGGAGGACACCAAAACTGCACAAACAGCCAGGAGACACAACGTCACGAGGAATTTCATGTCTGCCAACCATAATCAGAAAAAAAGAACAAGGAATAAATATGTCAAACATGCTCTGAAATGGCTATCACACAAACTTCTCAATTGAACACAAGCCTGAATATTGGTCCAATTCATCAAAACAAACTATGGAAACTTCGAGTAGTCATGGTAGCTAAACGTGATTCTTTTCTTGTTCGAAGTTCTCTAAATTTTTCCAAATTGGACATACCACTGCGCCGCACATCTTGAAAAGTTTAGCCTAGCTTTTTCAAGTTCTCCCTTTAAAATCCTTGTTATGTTTTCCACCTTTACCATCCTTGTTCCTTTATGGCTTATTCTTATTTTTTGTTTTTTGTTTTTTTTGTTGTTGTTGTTTTGTTTTGTTTTGTTTTATTTTGTTTTGTTTTTTTTTTGTTTTTATCTCAGTAAACTCTTATTTTCAGGTTTTCTTCAATTTAAAGGTAATTTTGCACGTGGCCGGCGAAAATAACTTAAAATACCGTGACTGGGCTCCTTTAATATCATTATACATCAGTTAACGTCTGTTACGCACATTTCGAGAAAAACCGGAGAGTAAAGCTACGAAAATATTGCGATTGACCTTACAACAGTGTTAAACTATTTGGATGTCTTGCTTCGATGGGTGTACAAAGAAATTTGCCAGTGAGAAATCAACTCTGAAGCGAACCGCTTGAGAAGTGTTTCTTCTACATCTGAGTTGCATCTCAGTTGATTCATGACAACTATGCGTAGCAGTGAGAGTCTTTAAGACTCTTTTTTTTGTTTGTTTCTTACGTGTTCGCGCTTGGATGAAACTATAACAGATAATAACAACAACAATAGTACATGACCTGCGGCTCTTCAAAGCACTGTTCTTCAATGCTCAATTAAACCAAGTCCTTGGGAACTAAACTATAAAACTTGAAACCCCGCTAACTTCGATTGTAACCAAGGTACAGAATAATCACTTGAACTTTTTCACGCCCGTTCTTTCCGTTTCCCCCTCTCGATGGTAACAGATGACTCGCGGTCTTTTCAGAGCACTTGTTTTTAATGCTCCGGTGCACTCAAAGCTAAGAGAACTGAACCATATTTAGTGGTGACACGGTTTATTTAGATATTTTCACATTTTGAAATTATCCGAGGTGTAACGGTAAAATAAACAGCAATGGCCTATTTTTCATCGGGTGAGTGATATGGCTTGTTCGTATGAAAGAATAAAAATCTTAATTTGAAATCACGCTAATTCAATTCTAGCGAAGGTACGGAATAATAGTTAAACAATAGTACGCCCAGGCTTTCAAGCAAACGGAAACAGCAGAGTAAGTGCTGACGGAGATCTTTAAAATTTTAAAATTGACATTTAACTTTACGCCAGTATGGAATTCGTTTCGTTAGAGAGATCAGGTTCTTAAGTAATTCACGTAGAAGTAGAATAGAAATGTAGAGGATTTCTTGGCCGGAGGACATTTGAATATTAAAAGAACTGAACAAGACTATTCCATTCAATTTCATTGCGCCACCTTAGCTGGCTGCGCTTAATTCCTCGAGTTATCTTAATTGGATGCCTTAACGGTTGATTAAGGATAACTATTAAGAAAATCCTGGGTCGTGCGTATGCAGCAAATTCTATAACTCGTTTTATTATCTCCGTTTTTTTGTTTTTTTTTCCAAAACATGTCTTAACAAAATCCCAGATATGTGCCATACAGCATATACTTAAATTCGTACCACAATCTGTTCCTTTTTAACTGCTCCAATATTTTAACGAAAGATGGTGAACTTTCTTCAGAAGTTATTAACAGTTCCCTTCCTGATTACTGAGGCTCTTAAGGGAACCCTCGTTGCCCAAATGGTAACTAAAACGGCCATAGATATTGCGATAAGAAAAGAGCATTGAGCCCTGTTTTCACAGAATTTCTTCAATGTAAATTAATTATTAAGTGGACCAAGTTTTACAAACATCTTTAGCGATGCTTCTTCTTTTTCGATGCAATCACATCAAAGCACGGGATAGGTCGCCTTAAAGCCTAAGCACGGGAAAGGTAAGCCTCCGAATTCGACTTGAATAGTGGACTTGAACCTCCGTGAATACTCGATTGAATACCCCGGTGTACATCACCTAAAGCGGGCCCCTTGGATGCGCTTGGATTCCCACAACTGTATATTCGAGCGAGCTTGAATACTCTACGTGGTGTATCCTAAAAAACGGGGTAATAAGTTTAGGGTATAACTATACACCGGACTTTTCATACCTTGGTTTTCCAAAAGTGTTCAGGCTTCAGATAAGTCTTCGTTCTCCGATCGGAAGCAGCAGCTAGAAGTAAATGATGAGCTTGATAATCGTAGTGTATATATAGTCATTTGACGTCTGTCACGCCCTTTGTGACCAAAACCAGTAGAAAGCTGCAAAAATGATTTGATTGATCTATTGACGTCCTCGATCTAACGGATGTCGATCACGTGCACACGAAACAAATCTGAGTTAAATATGGAATACTTTGGAGAAAGGTAACAGTTCGATGGTTAATCGTTTATTCAGTGATCTGGAATTATAAAATGAACCCGGTATTTGGTATCATATCTTTTCAGGTTAGGTGTTTCCCTACAAGTGAACACAACAGTGTGAAGCTATTTGGACGGTCACGGTTCGGTGTCGTACAAAGAAATTAATTGATGGGAGATCAGGTGAAGCGAACAGCCTGGGGAGTTCTTCTTCTACACCTAACTTCCACTTCATTTGATGTCGGCTGGGATCAAGCATGTAATTGTAAACCATGCTTCAAAATGATTTATAACTAAGTCTAATGACCAGTCATGCAAACTCCATTTAAATACATTTTTTCCCTTTCGTGACGTGTTCGCGCTTGGTTGCCAACGATGCCAACAGATAATTTGCTGCCTCTTCAAAGCACTGTTTTTGAATTCTTTATTTTAGCCTGGGCGAGGGGAACTCAACCGTTTTAAGCCCAGAGGCATTTCAAAATATTTCGCGATGAGATTGTAATTATACTACGTTCACATTTTAAATTGTATTATTCAAGAGAATCTGCTTAGCTGTTTAGTTTATGCTTTTAAGTGGTTAACAACAAAGAATAAAAGTGTTGAAATCCCTCTAGTTTCGATTCTAGCCAAGGTGCAGAAGAATCACTTGGACTTTGTAACGCCCATACGCCCTTTCACGCCCTTTCTTTCTAGCTTTTGATCACCTGGTATGTTAAAAAACGCACTATAAATCAATAAATTATTATTATTATTATTATTATTATTATTATTATTATTATTATTATTATTAGCTCGCCCTCTGGACGATAATAGATAACCTACCGCCTCTTCAGGTCTTTGCTTTTGAATGCTCAATTCACCTAATGCATGGTCAAGAGAACGGAACCATTTTAATCTCTGCGGGATCTAGATATTTATCTCTTCTTCTTCTTCTTCTTCTTCTTCTT